CTGGTATCTTCAACACTACGAAGTCCACTTGGATATTTTTATTGGAAAATCACTCATAAACTTTCTAGCTACTTGCCCACCTTCCGCAAACCAGAAGTGCATAGGCAACATTTGCTCAGCATTCAATCCTAACAACTTAACTAAGTCTTCAGATATCACGCTGTGCATAGCTCCCATATCAATCATCACTCGGATTCGGTGTCCCCGGACAAAGCCTACTAGATAAATCAACGGATTAGTGTTTGCATTGATTGCGAGAAAAGCTTGAGGAAAGCAACGAAAGTAACTCACCTCCTCTTCCTCATAGTTTGCATTGACCAACTCGTCAACCGTTTTAGCTTCACTACCACTGTCTTCCCTCATGACATTCACATGAGACCTTGTCTTATACTTGTTAGGACATTCCGAGGACCTATGTTCTGACTCCCCACAATGGAAGCAATGACCCACACTACCTGTTCTGCTAGGAGTAGGTTTTGCAAGTTGTTGGTGCTTGTACCCACCAGAAGGAGGAACAGAGGGCCTAGGACCATAAGAAGTTGTTGGTGGTCTCCAACCACCACCACCTTTGTTAACCGTTGCTTGTGAGCCTCTAGGGTGGAACCTGCCTTCCACCCTCTGTTTCCAATCACCTTGTTTATTTCCCGAATTCTTATTTTTGTCTAAGGTACCAGCATATGGCTGTTGATACTGTTCCATGAGTGAGAGACTAAAGGCAACTTACTGTGCTGCCTCCTTACACTCCGGGTATGTCTTCGGCTTAAACTTCAAATCTCATTGCGAGAAAGTGAACTTAAACCCTTCAAGAAATAACTTCGAGCATCTTTGTCACTCATATTTGCAATCATAATACACTTCTGAGCAAACGCATTAACGTAATGCATGAGGTCCCCTCATTGCTTTAATCGCCGTAGCTTCGTGCGAAGTCTCAAACCAAGATCATTTGGCAAGTATTCTTTATGGATATAAGACCGCATCTTGGTCCAACTTCTAGTCCGCCCTTTTTCAACACACACTTGGCGCCACTAAGTTTTGGCATGATCAGTGAGAAAGGATTGTGCACATGCAACTTTCGTATGATCATCTACATCTGCCACTATAAAGTAGTTTTCTATATCGTAGACCCAGTCTTTCAAAACCTAATAGTCCCACATGCCTATGAAATTGGGTAGTTTTGGAGGCTTGAACTTTGAAACTCGTGCAACCAGGGGCGGTTGTAGAACTTCATCGTCCTCAGAACTTGAAGAGGAATCTGGTTGCTTAGATTTAACTAGTTTAGTTGCCTTAGCTTCTTTCTTCTTCTTCTTGATCTCCTTCTTCAATTTGCGAATCTCCCTTCGCAAATTCTCAATCTCGACTTCCTAAGTCGTACGCTGCAATGCCGCAGCATCTGACTCTTCCTCTTCTAACTCAGCCTCAACCTCTTCCGTAGCATCTCTAGCAGGAGTTTCCTCCTCTCGATTTGCCTGTCTAAAGGTTTTAACATCATTAGCACGGTTCCTTTTCACCATCCCGCTCGCTACATACATGCCTCCGTCAGTAACTACAACATTCTTACCGAATGGTGCAATCAACTAATCCTACACAGGTCGCTTTGGATCTACTACAAAAGTCTCTATGTATGCAACTTGAGTCAAAAAATCTGACAAAAGTTGGATAGGAATCGCTGAGACAATTCTTCTGATACCAAATGTAATGCATTTGAATTTGGAGCCGAACTCCAAGCCCATTGCACTATGAAACGAGGGTCCAGTACAATCTCATGAGCACCAACTCCCCGTATCCAGCACTTGCATGCAAAATGGTGTCAGACAGAGTCTAGCACAATTTTGGCATACTGGTGGCCTAATGGGAGGAGGAGGGTACCCCACTGACTAGAGCAACATGGAGTTTGGGCTTAGATCCAAGTCGGACGCAGAAAAAGGAGCGACACAACCCAGCAAGAGCCAAACTAATGTCTCAGGTGGTCGGACATGCATTCCAACCACTATCTCTACTATACATATAGAACCCCCCCTCCCCCCCCCTTCCTTTGAGGAACACACGCTTTGGGCTTTCACCCCAAGCCTCCCTTAGTACCAAGAGTTAGTCTCTGGGACAAGTTCGAAATTTACTAAATATGAAATATTCTTAAATTGCGAATTTGGACACAAAACGAACACCATTATGTTTAGGCCGATCTCTACATTTCGTAGATATGCCAAATGAGCGAATCTAGACACTTTCTATAATTAGCATTTGGGACCGAAATGAGACGAATACAAAGGGCATGATAGCGAGGGTGTTTGGCAAACACAATAAGCTATTATCTAGCGATATTGAGGGATTAATCTCAATATGCAAAAGTTCTTGCTAAGCCAGTGCAAGACATAACAAAAGAGAACTAAAAAGCCAGGCCAAGTATGCTTAGCCAAAATAAACACTTAAGAATTCCATCTTTATGCTCATCTGGCTAAGTATAGATGCTAAGTCCAGTTTACTAACACTTAGACAAGAGGGGCCAATAAAGGAAACCAGCAATACCGACTTCCTGCCGTCATGGCAGTAAGGAGAGAGTGTTCGTAAAGAATGGTTGACAAGTATCTTTCGATACCCAAAGTTATATTCGCGATAAAAAATACTGCAGATGAGGAAGAAATACTAGAAACATGAAATGGTGGCTCAAGCCAAAAAATAAGAAAAGGCTAAGAAAGAACAGAACGTAAAGATAAATGATCAGATGGCAAATTAAAAGATTGACACCTACTTTGTGAACTCTCCACTTCATCTCGAAAGTTATTTGTAAACTCCTAAATTTGAACTTCCCAGCCCAGTACTATTCAAACCTAAAAATGTTTAACCCCAAGTATTTTAAGGCCCTTAACTAATTGGAAAAGAGGTGCACTTTTATTCATGGGCCCTTTCCCTCTATATTTAAACCCCATAAACCGTCTCTTGAGTCGTTCTCTTTGATTGCTTACAATCCACCTTCCCTACAAGTTCACGCCCTCGTGAATGGAAGTTAAGAGCCGCAGCTCTCTCAAGAGCCCCCCTTTGTTGACACTCTACCCTCAGGTTGAGCCTAGCCGGAGCAAATTGGATTTGCCAGATGTCAATCAACATGTGGTGCGATTCCTTTATCCAACTAACAAAGTTAGACTTGAGACCGCTTTGATACCAAATGTAAGCTCCTGAATTTAGACTTCTCGGGAGGTCACTCAACATAGTACTATTCAAACCCAAGGATGTTACCCTAAGTATCCCAAGACCCTTAACCGATTAGAAAAGGGGGTGCACTCTTATTCATGGGCTCTTTCCTTTTATATTTGAACTCTATGAATTGTTTCTTGAGTCATTCTTTTTGGTTGCTTACACTATCTCCATAATAAGCAAGCTCTTCATCACAATCTAGAATCCATTGAGCTTGTACACATTGTCTTCCCATAAACTCGATCTTTAAACATTCTTCAAGAATCCAAACTACATCATCCATAGCTCCCCAATTGATGTCATGATCACGCTACATATTAACAGGAGATGACAAAACACCAAGAAGAGAACAAATTGTGTAATCACGTTTTATAGAAGTTGGAGACGGCAACACATCAAAGATGGGCACAGCACCAATATGAACACATCCCACAGCACTAAAAATTCAATCTAACAAAGCAACATTAGTATCCTTAATTGATAATAGCATGGCATGGTAAAAAAAGAGAATGCAATGAAGATAAATTTAAACACAACAATAGTTAGAGTTTTAGATCTTGAAAAAGTTAATACAAATCTAGATCTAAAAGAGAATGAAGAAATAAAAATAAAAAACACAATCCTAAATACTAGAGTAAAGCACTACAAAAAAACTTTGTTCTTTAGAGATAAATTGCAATATCAATATGAGTGTTCGGGATATAGGAATGGTATATTAATTGGGGTTTAAACTTTTACTTATATACAAGAATGAATGGATCAGATTTAATCCCAAATGAACGGTCCATATGCTATAGTATTATAATATAGTATTATAATTAGTGTATTATTTAGCAAGGGTAATACATGTATATATATATATATATATATATATATATATATATATATATATATATATAAAATATTATAGACTAAAATTTTGATAATTTTACTTTTAGATGATTTTTTATTTAAACACTACAATAAGATAAATATTTATTACATTATATATTATTTTTAATTTTTATAGATTTTATTCTGTTCTAATAGTAATTAGTTCATATAAATTACTCTAGAAATGTTGTATAGTAGTTCTTTCTCATAATAATATATTAGTTTATTATTTAAGTGATTATGAAAATTATAATTTTATTTTAAAAAAAGAAAATCATCCTATGGAAGAGTGGTTTAGTAATTCATGAGAGTGATATGTAAAGATAAACCTTAAGTCTCTTGCAGTTAAAAATGTATATACAGACTAATTTTTTAAATTTTTTTATAATATCATTAAGTAAAATTTTTTAATTATAAATATTTTTATGCTAGCATTTCTTGAATATCTTATATTTTATTATTTAGTATATCAAAATCTCTCACAAAACTATTAAATGATTTTTCTTCACTTAACTAGTTAAATCTATTACTAAGATTTTTTGTATTTATTAAATATGTAAATATGTTCCATAAAAATACTCTTTTAATACCTAATTTAATTTATAATCATCAATCTAGGAAATTTTTTTAAATTATTTTTGAATCATTTCACTAAATACCTGAAATAAATTTATATATCCTTTAAAACCTTTAATGTTTAGATTAAATTTTGGTACCATTATATTACTAAACACTTGGTATACTTAAAATTTATTTAATTTTTCTAAAAACTTATTCAATAAAATTTTTCTATATTATTTATAATTTTTTATTTACTTTATAAGAAATAAATTACTCTCTTAAATAGCAAGAGTTCGGCCAGGTATGTCGATGGACGGCTGGGATTGCGTTAAAGGTTAAGCCAAAAGTTTGGCTGGAGACTCGAAGAACCCTAAAAATGCAGAGGAGTCCGGGGGGATGAATCGGGACGCGTTGGCACTGGAGCGAAGGATTCTCTCAGGTAATCTACGAGATCTATAGCCCGCCGCAGCGAATGGAGGAGGACGTGGCGGATTACGAGGTGGAGCTGAGCGATGGCGACGACGTGGACGACGATGGCGGCGAGACGGACATTGACGAGCTGGAGAAGCGGATATGGATGGACAAGCTCCGCCTCAAGCGCGCCAAGGAGCAGCTCAAGGCCAGGGGCGCCGGCGGCGGCAAGGATCGGGCCAAGCAGAAGCAATCGCCCGAGCAAGCGCGGCGCAAGAAGATGGCTCGAGCACAGGATGGGATCCTCAAGTACATGCTCAAGATGGTGGAGGTTTGCCACGCGCAGGGATTCGTCTATGGGATCGTCCCCGAGAAGGGCAAACCCGTGAGTGGCTCCTCGGATAATCTCCGGGCGTGGTGGAAGGACAAGGTGAGATTCGACAAGAACGCGCCAGTGGCGATTGGGAAGTTCCAGGCTGAGAACTCCGGCGAAGACAGCGGCAGGGATTCTTCCAGGAGGAAGAACTGGAGCACGGCTAGGGCATTGCAGGAGCTCCAGGACACGACGCTGGGATCGCTCCTCTCGGCTCTAATGCAGCACTGCGATCCTCCGCAAAGGAAATACCCGCTGGAGAAGCTGGTTCCTCCGCCGTGGTGGCCGACTGGGAACGAGGAGTGGTGGTCAGAGATTGGGTCGCAGGTGAGAGGAGCCAAGGACGTGCCGCCGCCGTATAAGAAGCCTCACGATCTCAAGAAGGCCTGGAAGGTTGGAGTGCTGCTGGCGGTGATCAAGCACTTGTCGCCGGACATCGCCAAGATCAGGACGCTGGTGAGGAGCTCCAAGTGCCTCCAGGACAAGATGACTGCCAAGGAGAGCGCGACTTGGATCGCGGTGCTAGCTCACGAGGAGTCGCTGGTGGTGTCCTCGTCAACTTCCAACGCCGCCACCACCACCACCACCACCAAGGTCAGCAACGTTTGCAACTCAGGCAGCAGCTCTAGCAATGACAGAGCTCGATCACAGCCTGCGGGGACTACTTCCAGCGATGACGATCCAGCTCCTCCACCGAGTTCTAAGCAGCCCAAGAACAAGAACAAGTCTAAGCAAGCGAAGAAGGTCGCTAGTGCTAGTGTGACGCCACCGCCGCCACCGCCGCCACCGCCGCCACCGCCGCCACCAGTTCGTCCCGGAAGCTCGGAAGTTAGTGCCATGGACGAGGAGGAAGAGGATCCACCACAGCAACGAGTGGAAACCGGACGAAGATCTCGGGAGAAGAGACCGATCGCCGAGCCGCGTATAGAGCCGGAGGAGAGAAGCTTTCGGTGCCGCTACGAGCAGTGCTTCCACCACGATCTGGGGAACGCATTCAAGGACTACAACTCGAGGAACAACCACGAAGGAAGCTGCAGCTACAGGCCAGTGGCGGAGGCTGGAAATGGTTTGATCCAATCGGGAGTGGCTCCTTACAACCAGGTGGCGATGGTGGCGGCGGTAGCGGCGGCTCCTCCAGGCGGTGGTGGCAAGGGACTATTCCAGCCGACGCCGCCTCTCGTGGTGGAAGCTTGGGGCTATCCAGCTGCTGCGATGGGATCGAACTTTAGCGTGTTCCAGCAGCAGGGCCGCAGCCTGGATCTAAACGAGCAAGAACAGCGACAAGATCGTCACCACCACCACCTAGAACAGCCGCAGGAGCAACTAGATCGTCCTGGAGAGCAGGGAGATCAAGGCTCAAGGCCCGAAGAAGAGCGCGATCGCCATCGTCACGATCACCACCATGAGCGGCAGCAAAGTGGAGGATTGGCGGACCCCTTCTATCTCAACGAGCTCGCGATGGAGGAGGAGAGAAACGATGGGCAGCACCATGAATTTGGAGCTCCCGGAGAGGAGGAAGTCCACTCCGACTATGGATTCCCAGCTGGAGAATACGATCTCGCGCTGGGCAGCCCCGAGCCCATCATGGGAGGCTTCGAGTTCCTCGATTCCAACGATATCTGGTACTTTGGAGCTTAGAAGCATTCAAACTCCAGGAAAGATTCCTTTGGCATATGTTTATTTTGTTATATAGAACTTTAGGGTTCTTGGTTCTTTGGGATTTTAGGGTTCTTGGAGCTGGAGTTCCGTTCGAGGTATGATTCACAGCAGCGACAGCGACAGTAGCATCGATCCATGGCTGGATTCGAGGCGCCAGCTGCAGCGCCGGCGCCGGGCAACGATTCCTTCGATTGGCTCATCCCCAAACAGCAGGACGCATGGTATGGAAATATCCAGTACCTGAGCAACATCTCCATCATCGGCGCCGTGTGCTGCGTGATCCTCTTCCTCGTCGTCAAGGTGAGGAGCGATCACAAGCTCCCCGGGCCGGCATCGCTGGTGACGAAGCTCCTGGCGGTGTGGCACACGACCAGCCAGCAGATCGCGAGGCTGTGCGGCGCCAATTCGGCACAGTATCTGTGGGTGGAGGGCTACACTTTCGTCACGCTCGCGATCGTCTCGGTGGTGGCACTGCTGGTCATCCTGCCCGTGAATTTGTATGGGGGCACGGTTCCAATCGAGGACCAGTTTGCAAAGGCGACGGTGGCTCACGTCAAGGAGGGATCGCCATGGCTGTGGGCTCACACTGTGTTCATGGTGGCTCTCACCGCCGCCGTCCACCTTTGCACGAGTAGCCTGGAGAAGCATCTCCAGGCGACGCAGTTCCACGATGGAGACTCGGCCGACTCGGTGGCGATTTTCACGCTGATGGTGAGAGGAGTTCCTCGGGTTCTCGCCATGGACAAGCGGCCGCTGGAGGACTACTTTGAGCACCGGTATCCAGGGAAAGTCTACTCCATTGTCGTCCCTCACGATCTGGACGCGTTCTATCGGCTAAAGTCCGAGCTGCTCAAGACGAGGGAGAGGATTGTGGCAGCGGAGGCTCAGGCTCGCGCACGACAGCAAGTGTTCTACGAGGATGATTACTTTTTCAGTGGCAACGATAGGGATTTTTTCGTGGATTTGTCATCGTCCAGCAGGAGCCACAGGAGGGTGTCTTGGTTCCGGGAGAAGTGGTCTTGGATCAAGCACGAGGTGACGAGGTGCTGGAACTGTATATTAGTTTTGTGCCGCTTGACTCCCGAGGATAGGCTGAGGAGGCTGGCTGCTCGACGCGAGGAGCTCGAGAGCTCTCTCGGTGCTTACAGGGATGGGATGGCCGCAGGTGCTGGGATTGCTTTCGTGGTCTTCAAGGACGTATTCACGGCGAGCAGGGCTCTACAGGACGCTAGGATGAATTCTACCAGGAGCGATAGATTAGTAGGAGGTTTTTCGATGGTGGAGGCGCAGCTCTCGAGGGGGTGCTGGAAAGTTGGCAGGGCTCCTCCGCCTCGCGATATCTATTGGCACCACCTCGGCAGGAGCTCACTCCAGAGACGCTTGCGAACGGTTGCTGTGAATCTCCTGCTGCTGCTGGTGCTCTTCTTTTGTAGCTCGCCACTGGCAGCCATCACCGCGATTCACAACGCCAGCCGTTTCATCGGGCGAGATACCATGGAGCACTTGCAAGTTTGGCTCGCCTGGGCTCGCTCCTCCAACTGGTTCTCCACTTTCATCCTCCAGTTCTTGCCGAACGTGCTCATCTTCGTCACCATGTACGTACTGGTTCCCGCGGTGCTGGCACACCTATCCAAGTTTGAGTCGCATCTCACGGTCTCGGGCGAGCAGCAGGCCGTGTTAGTCAAGACAGTGTGCTTCTTCCTCGTCAACCTCATCCTCCTCAAGGCACTGGTGGAGACGACACTGGAAGCCGCGATCCTCCACATCGGGCAGTGCTACATCGACAAGCAGGACTGCAAGAGCATCCAGCAGCTCATGAGCGCGACGTTCCTGGCGACGTCGTGCCTCTCGGCTCTGGCGTTCATGATCACGAGCTCCTTCCTCGGCGTCTCGTTCGACTTGCTGGCCCCAATCCCCTGGATCAAGCGGAAGTTCATGATGAGGAAGAGCCGGAGCACGGCGGCCATGGAGAATGGATCCCCCGGCCACGACGAGAACGGCTTGCACGAAGCGCTGCTGCCCGAGAATGGAGCTCACAGCGAGGAGGACGACACGGTTCCGCGGCAGGCCTCCGAGACGATGAACGACGGCTTCGACCTCCAGGGGCGGGACTTAACGGTGTACCCGCTCGTCAAGGATCTCCGCTGGGGGATCCAGCGCTTCGACCACGCGCAGTACTACGCCTTCAACCTCACCATCTTCGCGCTGGTGATCGTCTACTCGACGTTTGCTCCGGTGATGATCCCGTTCGGCGCCTTGTACTTCGGCTACCGCTACATGGTGGACAAGTACAACTTCCTCTTCGTCTACCGGGTGAGAGGCGCGGCCGCGGCCAACGATGGCAAGCTCATGGGGACGGTGCTGCGAGTAATGAGGCTCTCGCTCTGCCTCTACCTCGTCGCCATGCTGCTCTTCTTCTACGTCCGCGGCGATGGCGAGAGGCTCCAGGTGCTCACGACGCTTGCGCTGCTCATGGTGGTGTGTGCCAAGTATGGGATCGAGAAGCTCGTGTCGCCGCCAAAGGATGGCTTTGATCTCTCCGTGATCCAGGGGCTGAGGACGGTGGACGAAGCTGTGGAGGGGGCGGAGGTGGAGTACGAGGTTCTAGCACGGCCGAATTTCCAAGGGATTTGAATGGAGCTCTCTCTCGTGTGTGTAAGTTATGATCCAGAAAAGTTCTTTCGATCAGTCATTCTTTTCTCTTGAGAAATTTTTCTTCCTTGTAAATGGTGGCTCGAAAAGAATTAATGATCTTCTTCTATGGTTATGGTAAATGGTGACGATTGAGGGGTGTTGGAGGTGAAGCTTAAGGATTCTATTGTTGTGAGCGTGTCGAGACATCTCAGCTTGCTGCTCACAAAGTAGGCGTGGCTGCTTAAGTCCATTTGAGACCTTGCCATGGATGTCTTCTTCATCATCACCTCATACCGTTTTTTATCCTCTCTGGCTTTTCTTCTCTGCTCCTTGGCAAAAGTCTTTATCAATTAGCTTGCTTCTTTACCTCTTTTGCTGGCTTTTGATCCAACTGTTCTTTCAAAGATCTGACTTGTGCTATACTTGACTGTGAGTTGTTTTTAAAAATTCCTTTACTCCTGAACTAATTGAAACTGTAGGTGCAACTAATCACTCAATAAGCATTAGCCACAACTTCAAGGTAAGCACTCTCATCTGCACCATTTTCCTGGTTTTCTTCAGCATTTTGCATCTGAGTGTTCTTAAGCTTCTAGCTACATCCTCCTTCCCTGCTTGAGAAAGCATTATATTTGATTTATACTTTATATCTATAGCAGCTTTATCAAGCTACTAGCACTTGCTAGCATATGCTGCCTAGTTAGCAAAATATATGTTTTTATATTAAAAACTAAATTGGAATAGTATGACAAAAATAAATATTGCATTCCACTTTGAAAGAAGAATTAGGTGAATATAAAAATAAATTCTTGTAAACTTGATAATATAAATATTTAGAATAAAATATATTCTTAGGCATAAGTAAGAATACATATTCATAATAAAATATTAGATAAAAATTATTATTTGGAAATATGAATATATTTGGAAAAATACCCAATCCAGAAAAAGTAAAAATGAAATTTCTATTATTAATAATATGTTATATGTAAATTATATTTTAGTTGGGATCAAGATTTTATCAAACAAAAGAGAATAATTACTAATGTGAGTGCATGGAATATGGAAAGGGAATACAAAAAATGTGCATATCAATTAGCCCAAAAACCCTAACTTATATAGAGGAGTGAGTAGTTCGGATTGAAATTAATTCAACGGCTACCAAAATCCCATTATGCTAATATTAATATACAACATCGTAACTTTACCCTTGAACCCCACTCCTTTCAAAATAATGGAAGACCATCAAGGTTCTCTTGTAGATGGGCCGAGATCTAGAGGAATATCAGGAGGAGGCATTAGTGGATCTATAGGTAGTCTCAGTTGTCATTATCCCTTTGTATGAAGCGTTTTAACCGTTGCACATGCATAATTTCTAGAGGATCGGCCTGTTGGACGTCATGCTGAACCTCATAAACTTGTAGTCCAACTTGCTGTAACACCTGATATAGTCCTTTCCATTGAATAAGGAGCCCCTTAGATAAACCATGTATCGTAAAATAGGGAAAATGGACTAACACCAAGTCATCCACTTTGTACACTACAAGTGGTCAATGATGAGAGTTGTAGTGCCGTTGTTGTCCCACTTGTACATGGCCTAAGTGTTTGGCAAACTCTGTTGGGACAAGTGGAAGAATGCTTATCAAATACTGATCCTACGACTTAGTATTAGCAGTTCATAGCAACTGCGAAAGTAAACCCAACTTCGTTGGTAATATTGGATCATGACTATATAGAAGTTTATATGGTGAAACACCAATAGAACTCTACACCCTTGTGACATATTGTAAGCGACTAATTTTTCCATTCTACTTTAGTCACTTAACCACACCTCCGACCTCTTGGAGGAGTCTCATTCACAACCTCCATAAGCCCAACTCAGGACTTGGGGTTTGCTAGCCCCGAGAATGGCATCCATGCCACTCAACCTTAGCACTTGGTCCAAGTGCTCCACGTGTCCGATCCCATGATCGACACCCCAAGGTACCACCGACATATCGGCCCGTTACGCTAAGGCCATGCCCATTTACCTCGGTCACACTGGTGGTCTAACACCACCTACATTTCAATCCCGTCTCTCAAAGACTGGGTCATCCATCCATGAGTGATCATCCCAAATCCACTCCTTAACATCCTTAGGATGCCTACAGACATGGGGAATAGCCTTCCCCAATATCTTTGTTCCGGTCCCCACCAAGTCCGTTTCTGTCCTTGGCTGTGTTCGCCAACACTGCCACTGGATCGAGGCCCACCGGCCCGACCACTAAGTCCCACTATCCTCTAGGACTTCCTCACTGTATGACTGTGTCCTTGGTCACTACCCCAGAGGACTGCTCCTCTTCCTTTCCATAGTCTGGGCCTTTGGGACAACATTTCGGAACACCGTGGCCTTACGCGAGCCACCTGGGTACTCTCCTCGCCTTCTGCCCTTGGGTGCTCTAGCCATGGGCTTAGAGCGGGTTCCGTTGAGCCACACCAGGTATCCAAGTAGGTAGTGCCACCCACACTTGGACTGGGAGCATTGGCCAGTCGATCTCCCGGGGGAACTAGAGCCGGCTCTTGAACACTTCACTAAGCTACCCCGCTTGTCAGTCCGTGTTCACTCTAGTCTTGGACTTCCCAGTGGGCAGCTCATCACCCAACACTGTGTCCGGCCTTCCTGGGCCAAACTGGCCTTTCCTGGCCAAATTGGCTCCACTGCAGTCCTCCCCCTTACTATACTTTTGGAGCTCACCAAACCCCCTAGGGTCTGGGAGACGAACGCTTTGGGCTTTCACCCTCTCAGGCTCCGGACTCGGACTCAGACTCAGACTCGGACTCGGACTCGGACTCGGACTCGGATTCGGACTCGGACTCGGGCTCGGGCTCGGTCTCGGCCTCGACTTCGGACTCCATCTCGGACTCCATCTCGGACTCCATCTCGGACTCCATCTCGGGTCCATCTCGGGTCCATCTCGGACTCCATCTCGGACTCCATCTCGGGTCCATCTCGGACTCCATCTCGGACTCCATTTCGGGTCCATCTCGGGTCCACCTCGGACTCCATCTCGGACTCCATCTCGGGTCCATCTCGGACTCCACTTCGGACTCCAACTCGGGTCCATCTCGGGTCCACCTCGGACTCCACTTCGGACTCCATCTCGGACTCCATCTCGGGTCCATCTCGGACTCCACTTCGGACTCCAACTCGGGTCCATCTCGGACTCCACTTTGGACTCCAACTCGGGTCCATCTCGGACTCCACTTCAGACTCCAACTCGAGTCCATCTCAGACTCCACTTCGGACTCCAACTCGAGTCCATCTCGGACACTCCCACGTGTCATGTGTTGGTCCTTTTGGGTCCCTTTTTGGAGCCTCGCCTTTTGCTTGCTTCGTGCTCGTTCCTCGAGCACTTCGTTGGGAGTTCCACTCCCGCTCTTGACTTTTCAAGTCGGAGCTTTTGGTCCAAACGTGTTACGCTCGTTTGGCTCTCGCTTCGGCCACTACTATGTGGCACCCTTCCGGCTCCACTTTGGGGCCTAGGGATTTTGTGTCTCACACATATGCATACCAAAGAGACGGCAAATGTAGTGCACTTGAATTTGGAGCCGAACTCCAAGCCTATTGTGCTACAAAATGAGGGTTCGGTATAATCTCATGAGCACCAGCTCCCCATATCCAGCATCTACATACAAAATGGTGTCAGACGGAGTCTGGCACAATTTTGGCATACCGATGGCCTAACGCGAGAAGGAAGATACCCCACTGATTAGAGCAACGTGGAGCTTGGGCTTAGACCCAAGCTGGACACAAAACAAAGAGCGACACAACCCAGTAAGAGCCAAACTAATGTCTCAAGTGGTCAGACATGCATTCCAACCACTATCCCTACTATACATTTGGAACCCCTCACAGGTGCTCATAATGGTGCAATGCAATCAAAAACATGATCCACAAAATGACCGAGATACTACACTTTGCCTAGGAAGCGTTGCATATCATTCACACATTTTGGAGTAGAGAACTTTAGAACAGCCATAAGTTTGTTAGAATCAACTTGCAAACCCTCACAAAAAATATGGTACCCAAGATAAATCGTGTCTTTGGACCCAAACATGCACTTTGATTACTTCAGCTTTAAACCAACATCTTGTAGCTGATTCAACACTTTACAAACATCACAAATGTGCTCCTCTCACTTCTTCGAGTGAATCAAGACATCATCAATGAAGTCAACAGTCACCTCTGGCATATCGCAAAGAACTTTGTCCATCATCTGTTGGAAAGTTGTTTGAGAGTTCTAGCGCCAGCTCGGGTTGCCCGTTTTCGACATACCCGAGTATGAGCGTGCTGCACGAGACCATGTCCGGCTGGAAGATCTTGTCAAACACTCACCGAGTGTCATTGTTTAAACCAAATGGCATTACCAAAAACTCTTACAAACCAAATAGTGTATGAAAAATAGTTTTAGGAATATCTTTTTCAGCCATCGGTACTTGCTAGTACCTAAAAGCAAGATCTAGCTTGGTGAACCAATGACTTCACCCCCAGACGATCCAAAGGATTGGTAATGTGAGTAAGTGGGTACACATATAAAATTGTCACTTCATTTAATAGATAATAGTTGATGCAGAAACGAATACTCCCATTAGGTTTTGTCACAAGATGAGGTTCACATGCCCAAGAACTCCACGACTTTTGAATAACACCCTTCTTCAACATCTCCTTGATGTTTGCATATAAAGTCTTGATCTCTTTGAGTGATTGATGATGAACAGGAACCTTGATTGGACGCACATCCCTAGTTGGAATAGGATGATATGTGGCAATCTTAGCCCCAAATGATAGGTCAAATTCAAAGAGATTAGAATACTCCTTCATGAGTCGGTCAACTGTTGCAACACAAAGATTGTCAAAAGGATCGGAAAAGGGAAGAGCAGAACAAGACAAATACATAGGAGGAAGGAGTGGGAGACAAAAGTAATAAAAGCGTACATAGAAGAAAAAGGATAAAGAGGTACTAAAGTGAGAGGAATAAATGAAATATAAGGAAGTATAAAATAAAAGGAAGAAGTCTCAAAGTCACACTTGGCATGATTGCACTGCAACCAATCCATACCAAAGATGAGGTCAAAAGTTTGACTCAAGACCACCCACAATGAT